AGGAGCAGGAGCATGTTTTCGGCCACCTCCTGATGCCAGGCACACTGCTGATGACGGTCTCTCCAAGTGCGGACTGTGTGCCGAAGCGTATCGAGGGGCTCGATGTGGTCGGCAATGGTTTCCCAAACGCGTTCCTCAGGCTCGTCATAGAGCTCCTCGAGATTGGCAAGGAGCGTTGGGCAGTGCTGCACGTCAGCAACACCAGCAGGCTCATCAGTCCACTGCCCTTCCACCGGTTCGGGTGGTGCCTGAGGATGCAAGGGGGGTGCGAAATCCCCTCCCGCAGGACGAAATGATCCCCATCTGAAAGTACAGGCTGGAACGGAGACTAGATGGCGTCGCAACCTGCCCAAACTACCAAACGTGAAACCGCACCCCTTACAGACATTACCTGTTGCGAGCAAGTGGGCTTTGTATCGGTACCCATGCTTGCGCGCGGCATGTCCAGCCCATGCGACGCGCGTGGCGAAGGCTCGACGACAGGGGATACAGAGTTCTTCACTCTCTGGCGAAGGTAGGTTGGCCGCATGGTTGACCCCCATCGCAAGGCTATGCAAACCTCTATGAAGGCCATCGAGTGCTGCAACCATCGTGATACGCAGGACCTCGAGCTTACACGCTGTGCGGACTATGTTCTTGTAAACACCTGGCCTGTGTAACATGAGTGCTTGCCAGCTTTCCCATGAGGTGTCCGGGTCCTCAACGGAGGGTAGCCTGTGCATCCACCGGTATGCCCAGCGCAAGTCGGAGGCAAGTAGATCGCAGTATGACCTGTTAGCCTTAATACAGGCCCACAACTGTGGTGGCCCCGCTGCAACAAGCTGTCGTAGATACTGGAGCCTGGCACGGCGCAGGAGGATATCTGGGGGCAGCAGCTGCACCAAAGCACAGCATGTTAAGGCGGGCATATCTTGTGGAGCCGCTTTAGGGATACAGATGATCCCCCGGTAGAAATGCCAAACGGCAGCATCAAAGGCCGCTTGGTCCGCTTTGCAAAGGCTGGGCCAAGATCCAGCACCCAAAGTGAGGCGGCTGAGCACCGTGGCCTCAAGTACAATCGCCTTGCGTCGTATTTGAATGCCACGGTTTTTGAATATTTTACGCCTGGCTTCATGATAAGCTGCTTTGGCAGACGCAATCCTATGGCGCAGCTCCAAGCGTATGGACCCTCCTGGGGCCTGGACCGCCCCCAAGTGCTTGTAGTGACCCACGAGAGGCAGGGTTGCGGGTGCCGCGTGCTCGCGCACGACCGCCATGGTGCCTTTGAGCCCAGTGCCTCCAAAAAGAGCCTTCCGGATCGCTCGGGAACCGGGCCCACATATGGACGCCAGGGCTGCGGTCTTTGCGGCCCCGTATGAGAGCCTAAGGCCATGCTCGGCACAGGCATCAGCCAATGACCCTGCTTCGACAGCAATAGCAGCGCGGGTTGCATTATTGCGGATGGTCCATCGCGGGACAGCGATGTCGTCTGCCCACACGATTTCCTCGACGGTGATGTCGGCAGCCCCCGACTCACAGGGCTTCAACGAACGCACACCATCCCAAGGAACACGTGGGGCTTCTGCAGCCGGCGCCGACGTAGCACGGAGCGTGTCCCGGGCTTGCAGCACCTTCGGGAGGAGGAGGGCGAAGACAATATCCGCAAAAGAGGAACCTGGCCTCGAGCCTCGCGCCGTAGCTATAGGAGTAGTATCTCCGCGCATCACGAACCAGTTGCTCGTAGAAAGGGCACCTGTAATGGCTTCAAGCCAAGGGTCGGCACCCGCAAGTTTCATAGCCGAGGGCTGGCTGAGGCGGTGCTGTAGGGTTGCCACATCTTCTGGTGCAATGTGTAGCTCCGCTGTGATACGCTGGAGGAGGTTGCTGTCGATATCGCCCTCCGTGTTCGCCACCAACTGCGTAACAGTGCAGTAGAAAGCGGAGGCAATATCGGCGAACAGAACAAAACTTGTAACACCTTTACTCACAGCCAATGCCGTAACTTCTCTAAGCAAATGAGACCCAAAGGTAATGCTGGCACCAGCTCTACCTCCTAACTGCAGCCTGGGCGCCGTGCTTTGGAACAACGACTTGAGTGGAGGCCTGAGGCTTTGGTGACACGCTTTCGCCAGACTGGAAAGTAGCAGGATGGACCGATAAGAAGAACAGTCGTTGAAGGGTCCTTTATGTTTATACAGGACGATGGATTGTCCCCCTTTCCATCCTACGGCTTCGCATCCACGCCACATCTGTTTCATCAAGACCGGATACAGGACGCGGGCCAGATCCACCGCGAAGTGGCGGCAGAGTTCCGCAGGTATGGAGTCCAAACCGGGAGCCTTACCGGTTTTCGTTGCGGCCAAAACCTGCTGCAACGTCGCTAGGGATGGGACCCCCGCGGTATCCGCAGGATGCGGCCAGTGAGAGCTTCGGTCAGGATGGCCCATTTCCTGAGTCTCATCGACGAGGGCTTGGAAGCTGGAATCACGTCCCCCTTCAAGGGAACCGAAATGTTCCCTCCAACGGCGACTCACGTCAGCCTCATCCTCGCACTGGGTGCCATCTGCCTTGTTGAGCATTGGCAGTGGCTCCAGTTGGAAGGGTTTTTTCCGCTTGTGCACTAGCAGCTTATGGTAGCACTGATAGACTTGTTGGCTGGGCCCTTCAGAGAATTGGATGGCAAGCTGTTCCACGTACGCATCCCTGTCTCGCTTGCACGCTGCACGGAGTGCGAAACCGAGGGTACGCAGCTGGGCAGTCTGGATGGCAAACATAATTTCCATCTGCCATACCCAGGGATTGGACATGAA